GTTTTTATTGGAAAGCCTTTGCTAAAAACTGAAAGTATTGACTTTTTTTTTTAGCATTTGCTAGACTATAATCGTTTGCTTCATTTTCGAAAAATTACAGCAAAAAATTCGTACAGTACAAATGATACCATACACTTTATTCTTAATCTTATTCATGCGAGATGTATATACTTTTTATTATTATTTTGAACACTAGGGAAAAACCTATAATTTCTCGTTTTTAAAACTGGGAAGGGTTACGGTATAATTTCGATGCAGCACAGAAGGATAAAAGGGAATATCTGAATCAACGGCAATTAGGATACTGAATGAACTGAAATTAGCTTCCTGTTTATTCGGTAATATAATCTTTTTAAACTTTTTCATGTGATTTGTTTGTACAAATGGCGAAAATATTCTTCATCATATGAGTTGGATTAACCTCTGTGCTGTATGCGTAATTATTTGGACCCGTTACCCACACGTAAACCCTGTGTGTATGCCAGTTCGTACACATCACGGAGACCCTACTGGGGCGAGTCCAGGACTTTTTTTATCCGGACACTTGGCCTTTGAAAATCAATTGGGGTGGGAGGGGTGGGGGGGGGGGCTCGTACCATACTTTCAATTGGGGCACTGTTCATACCCGACGATTATTAACAGTATATTACAGAATAGTGTACAAGTTGAATATGTCCGTATTTTGTCCACAGGAGGACATTATTGACTTTTTTGGGGGGTGTCAGAGCAGGCGGGGGGGGGGGGGGGGGTTCGCATTATTTTCGTATTGTATTTTTTTTTTTACGGATCCGCGCCTGCCCTATTGTTGACAACCATTCGTCCGTGCAATTATTACTTTACTTTACTTTACTTTACTTTGTTCCACCTCATGGTACAATGCAAAAATATAAATAAATGTATAATTCTTCAAAATAAATTAGGTATGTTAAAAAAATATAAGATAAGAAATAATGTCCTAGTATTAATACCAAGAGATGCAGGGGACCCACAAAAAAACAAGCTTGTCGAGTGCGAGTCGAGTCCCCTGAACAACAAAAACAATAACACAATTAACAAGGTACATAATAACAACAAACATAGACAATTCACATAAACATACGAGAATGTAAATGACAGGGACAATGAGTGTGAATTATTGGAAAGAAGCATTAAAAAAATGATTTAATTTAATTTAATTTAATTTTGTATTGAGTAAGGTAGGGCCATAATAGACAAAATATGCAAAATGGTGTTAAAGAAATTGGCAATGGACAACAAAATTGCATGCTTAAAGCAATAGTAGAAGCATAAAGAAATAAACTGAATGACAAAACGATGAATTTAACAGAAATTTAAAATATGAAAAAAAGTGAAACTGCTGCAAACTGCTTACTGACTGGATGGACCTGAAATATATAAATCTTAAAATTAATGTGGCCTGACGTTGCGAACTTAGCAAGTTCTTCTTCAGAGGCTAAAACAGAACGTCAACGTCAGGCCACATTAATTTTAAGAAATTTAAAATAATGATATTAAGCCACATTTTTGTTCAGGGCTCAAAATAGACCATGGCGCTATGCGAGAACAATAGAAACAAATAAATGAAATTAATGATATGGCTTAAAGGATTACAAGAAGCACAGAGTAACTTAGATAAATAAATCAAACGAAAGAATTTATACCAACAAAGGATACTAATAGGGCTCACGAGCATGAATATTTGTTGAAAATAAATTGTTTGATCTTAACTTTGAATGTAGATCCAACAGTGTAGGAAGCAATTTTCCTTCCTGCTGTCTAGTGAATGCTGAACAGTGTAAGAATGAGTTCATTCATAAAGTTAGACACTCTCTGTTCTCTCCTTTAAGTGGGGTAGTGACTTCGGAGTCCAAACACGTCTCCTGGGGTTCGTTCTTAGATCCTGCAAAATATAAAGGTTCGCGATTACTTATTAAGCGTCTTGTAATTTGTTCGAATTAACGCATCATTAACCTCATGATGGAAAGTGCACGCTTTATGAGATTTTAAAGAAGCACCTCAAGCCCTGGTGGCGAGGTTTTTCTTTTTCCCTTTTGCTGTTATTTGTTAAGAGTGCTTAAATGACATTTCTTTGTTTTTGTTTTTCATTTTCCTTTTTTGTCGATTTTTTGTATTCATTGTAAATTATATTTTTGTGAAGGTTTAATGTTACAATTTGCGTAAGATTTTGTTTCTAATCCAACCACTTCTTTTGATGTTTGGTTGCAAATAAATTAATAACTAAATGAAATAAATAAACAAAGTTCTGCAATATTCCGTATTTTGGAAATTTGAAATGCGTCAATTCTGTCAGTGAACTATTTAGTGTGCATTAACTCTTTATTTCAGAGAGGCTAGGATAGTCTGTCTGGATCTATGTATCTCCCTTACTATCGGGCAATATGAGTAACTGGAATCATTCTTTCCAAGTTACGACAGGAGAACGTAAAAGCTTTGCCTATTGTCAACTTCTCATACCTTTATTTCCCCTGACCCTCGTCTCGTTCTGCAACTATTCAGTATAAGAGAGAATTGCAAAAGTCATTCATTACGTTCATTGATCCTGAGTTATATCACAGCAAGCTCCTTGCCTCCTTCATAATTCAGATCAGTCGGTATATTGTTATATTCCCTTTAAGGTTAAAATTCTAACTTTGGAAGCAAAAAATACGTTAAGTATCTCAAACAAAACTGCTAAAGTAGGCCAGTACCTAGGCCTCTTTTTTAATGTGTGGACCTTTTTGTTATCATGTCAGTTCCAACAAAAGCACTGTAAAATCTTCCACAATCTTCGTTTCTGAAAAAGGGTGTTATTAAAATGTTATAATTAATAATAATAAATTGATGACGAATCATTTTAATAATAGTTAATATTGATTAACTATGATGGCGGCGACGGAGTGTCAACGATCTTCGGGACTCTGCAACGTAACAGCCAAAATTGCCTCTTTATACTGACTTCCACCTGTCAATATTCTGTGTACAGCCGGAGATAGTATCTGCTTTATTACTAGACCTGCTGTTTATGTCATCTCGGGTACCATGCCTAAAAAAGCTGCCAAATCAGTGAGTGACTCAGATCGACCACCGGTACTCTCGCTACAAGCAACAAGTCCAAGCGAAGCAGGGTCTATTTCCAACACAAGCATGGAACAATTCAAGCATTTTGTTCGACAGGCACTCACCGAGCTCCGTGCCGGACAGGTGGAGTTACGTAACCGCATTGACAAGCTGGAAGTGAACATCAACGACTCCATTGAGTTTCCACCACGACCACGCTGAGCACATCAATAGACTTGAACAATTTTCTCGGAGGAACAACATCCGAGTCATTGGTCTTCCTCAGCAAAAGAACGAGGACTGTCTGTCCCTAGCTAAAAATCTGCTCAAGGACAAATTCTCCATGGAGGATGTCAAGCTGGAACGGGCTCATCGCGATGGGCCTAATTTGACGGCAAGCCTCAACATCTGCCAAACTGTTACCAAGACAAGATCAAGGTCCTTCAGCAACAGCGTAAGGTCCTGTCCAATGACCCCTACTACTGCATGGAGGATCTTACCAAGATCGACCTTCAAGAGAAGAGGAAATGGTCCTCCCAAGCGTCCAAAGCCTACAGGGAGGGTAAGAAATACCGCTCCGTTGCTGGCAAGTGGAGGGGCACTAGTGGCACTCTGGCTAACTTCTACCGCTAAATCTGCATGGCTGCTGACATCCATCCATCATCCATCTACTAGATTGCTGTGCATGATTTGCTTGCAAGTTAATAATTATATTTGTTTGCTAACGTTTTTCTTATTTAAGTCAAGCTAGCTTATATTTTGATGTATTGTTGATACATTGTGTACTTCTGCTTTGTCTGCTTCAGTATTTTTTTGCTTTTGTTGTTGTTTCCAGTTTTGTCATTTTCAGTTTTTTTTTAACCTGAATTTGCTTTGGGTTTTTTCTTTGGCTAACTTACTTGTTTTTTTTGTTTTACTTGCTTTATATATTTATTAGTCCCGTATGAATTCTACTTCCTTACAGTCGCATACGTTTATACTATTTCTTCAACTTGTTGCTTGTTATTTTCTACTTGTTCGTTTGTGTCTTTGTCCATTGTTTATTGTGAAACATGTTCTTGAATAATGACGACAGTGATCTTCAGGAGGAAACTTACTTTTTTGTTATTTGTGTTTCCTAGACAAAATTTATATATTCTATAATTCTTTTCCTTTATTGTTACATGCTATATGAATTGTATTTTGTTCATGGTTGGATATAAATAAATGTTATATTGAATTGAATTGAATTGTAAATTAATCGTACATACATCATGCAGAATGAATTTCCGACGTGTTTGGAACCATTAATGACTTTACAACGAGCACAGTGTTACTTTAAAGGGAATATACATCATTTGCTTTTGCTGTAATTTTCAGAAATGGATGGAATTGGGGGGTTGGAAATATAAAGCAAATATAGTTACACTGACTTTTTGGAGGTTTTGGGTTCGAAAATGCTATAAAAACCAAGAAAAACGATCATTTTCCTGTAGTCTGGTTCCCTGACTCCATATAAGAAGAAACAGAGCAGTTTACATACATTGGGGAATTGTAAGGTCAGGGAACCAGTCTAGCTGGCTCGTACCCGTTCATAGATTTGTTATCGATTGCAAACAAGTGCAATGGTCAATTGGGGCCAGTATTTGAAAAAAAGCCAGTTGTTTCCAACGCTGATCGGCCGATCAGCGTTGGAAATTGATACAAAAATACCACTTTTCTTGAAAATGACAGTATACCAGGTGCCATAATTTTACAGGATGCTTTAGACTGTCATTTACCAACATCCTATTAAGGTATTTCGTAAAAACTTGGTAATTTAATTTTTCGATGTTTGCAAATGTTGTATATTCCCTTTAATAAAAAATGATATCACTACCTGTATAAGCGTGCTGGGGTATTAGGCTGTCTAGAGATACTAGACTACTAGAAAGTGTTTTCGTACCTCGATGTCATTGTTTTGTCTAGGTTTCCTCATCGATATCTGAAACGACAATGACAATATACCACAGAATGTAGTATATGAGTCCGTAAACAATACAACGTACAAAACAACTTAGCTCCTTTAATATTTTTGAAATCCTTGGTCTGCTCGTTTTTAATACTCTCTTTTTTTTTAACTTTACCTAATCAGCGGCCATCATTAACAAGACAGACACTGAAGATCCAGAGCATTATTCCTGGATCATGAGTCGACAACTTGTTGAATGCGCAAACTCAATATGACGTCGTTACAAACTTTTTGCATTCAAGTTTGAAACCCAAACTGTACTTACAGTTATAGCAATTCAGAAAAACGTTCAGCAAATTTATCCTGATCGGGCACATGCCCCGATTTACCTTGCAGACAGCAATAACCAAACCGACGATGACAGCTAATGACAAGCACAAAGCAACTGTGAGCCCAATCACGGCATTTTGAGAGCTATCTGGAGTGTCTTTTACTGTAGAATTAAAGTCCAACTCAGCCATCACCGTTACAGTTGTGGTAGATTGAACTGATTTAAAATCTGGAAATAATTTGTGGAAATTCGTTAAAAAATTAATATGATTCGATTCATTTGATGACAGAATTTGTATGTGTGTGATTCAGCCGTCAAATGGAACGATTTACTTTTAGTAATGTAAAGGCAACTGTTATAGTTCTGATGCAACCTCTTTTGACATCACAATTATGGTACTATATTGATTGCGCATTGCTTTTATATTTATTAAGTAACGGTAACCATGGTAAAATAAATAATGTTGACATCGAATGTGTACAATATGGACGAGAGATCCGACAAACAAAAATATTATCATCAAAGTATACGAATAAATATAAAATACCATTTTTTTTAAATCTCAAATAAAGGCTAGGCCCATATCCAGGAACAGGCTATTTAAATAAAACTATAATATAGTATTATTTAAATCTATTTCAAATTTATTAAAACATATTTAATATAGTATTATTATGAAGTTGCATCGAAAGCAGACGTTCTACGAAACAACTGTCACTATATAGATCGTCTGTAACTGTGAGGAGTCATGCCCGGGTCAGATCTGACTCGGCCGAAATTAGAACCCATGCCTGCCAGGGACAAATTGACACTTTTCTGGGTCAAATTCAAAACGTGTTTTTGACCCTAAAAAGTATTGGGTCGAATTTGATCTCTATTACGGTAATTTCGGGTCATATCTGCATGACCCAGCACTGTAGGTACCCAGTGCTACCCTACAAAGCAATCAATATCCAGGCTCACGTGTTGTTTGAAGGGGATGATAGACAGTTGTCACCGTCACATGGCTACCATTCCTGGCGCCCAGAGCCTCCCCGTATGCTTGACATCTGTACATGGACTTGTCACTACTCGTTATAATTGGGATTGATGCTGAAGTGGTGAAGGTGTTCACCGAATACTCACCTAGGTAACACACGCAAAAACAGATATTTTTCTCAGGCTGAAATAAAAGACAATTGCATCAGCTTGCCTACATGATGTGTTGTAATAATGTTCGTCTGGGCTGGATTTATCTGTAGAAATAAGTTTATGAGAATCCTTCCCTTAAAAGCAACGCCGTGCAATATTACCTTAACATTGAAATCATGCTTCCATGTAGACAAATGAAAAGACATCTTGAAGCATATGTCCTAATTAAAATTCACCTCGTAGGCCTACATTATGATTCAATTCAAACAAGTGTTACTTTCTAATTTTACCGGGGGACGGGGCACTCGAGATTCGATCACACCCTCTACTTACTCGGTTGTACGGTGAACCTGTCGCTGATGAGTTGTGTGTCGCCGTCACTATACTCAAGCAGCCATCGGAGAGCCACGGCAGGCTTGGTATCCCTTACGATGCAGGTCAGCATTAGTTTCTTGATGTCGTTCGGCAACTCTGCCTCGCACGCAGTCTCGGTGATGCGTTCAGTGCATTGAGTCACGTCGGGAAACGGCTCCTTGGGAGATACTACACAATAACGTTGGCTTCTAAACTTGGCTGTTTGCTAAAATTGTCATTTCCTTTAAACGTTTTCGTCCTTCAGAAAATATTGGTTTAAAGGGGCACTAGGTCCTGAAATCCCCGACAAATGTATGTTTTGGGTTGTTTACTTAGCCTATTTCAAACATCTTGTTGAAAGGAAACCTACCTAATGTCTTACCGTTCCCGAGAAAAGACGAAAACACCCGCTTGTTTACATCGGACATGACGGAGTACGAATTGTTGTTTCTTCAACGTCCGCAAAAGGCGATCACTTTACGCGTACGAATGAAATCACAACTAGCATCCAAACAGCTCGAATTCATGGGGTGGCATAAGTGGACCCCGAAATTTGTTCTCGCATGCATAATACAGGAATAACACAAAAACACCCAGTTTTGAAAGGATAGTTGTGTGGATGTTTATATCCTACTTTTAAATGTTATTTCTGATTATCATCATCTCGCTCAAAGCGCGTTTTGTAGCCCAATCGGGCTGTTCCAGGACCTAGTGTCCCTTTAAAACTGAGTTGAACAAAACATTGCTTCTCTCCAACGTATGAATAATATTATTTACTAATCGCTAACCTTCTCACCTCTGACACGCTTAGTCACGTGCCCATCAACCATCACTTTTAACTTCGGTTTGACCCTACAGTAGTAGGTCCCTTCATCTGAGTCGGTGACGTTCTCAATAACCAGAGAGAAGTTTCCGTTGATGTCATACACGCCCTCGGGGATGCCGTTTTGTGGAGCGACGTTCCCTAGGAAGTAGGAGATCAAGATGTCTTCATCTCGTACTCCTGTGAAGTACCAGTATATGACTTCGATCTGATCCAGCGGGATTCGTCCGGATGCGACGGGAGGGCAGGACACGATGCCAGGGTGGCCTCGCTCTAGGAAGATGGCTCCATCCTGGATATTACTTGCTTGGATGCTAATAGCCACCACGGAAACAACTTTAATTGGGATAATGAACCAATTATTCTTATGTCGCAAGGTGGCAACCCCCACGATGATAAGGGTGGTCAGGTTCACCCTCATGAAGAAAGAGTAAGGTTGACAGTAGGTAGAATTGAACTTGAACACTCAGACGGTTGTTTACGCTGATTCACTTGATTGAGTTTTAATTATTATAAATTCACTTTCTCCAATTGTACAAAATAATTCAAATGAAGATCCAAATAAGAAACAGGGAAAGATCCAAATGAATCCCTTGAATGATGAAGACGACCAAGAAGAAGACCAAAAAAGAAGACCCTGTTGATCATGAATAAAATGAATTGATCTTAAACTTGTGTAAGTCTTGTTCCAAAGTCATTGGATTGAATTAATGTTATTATACACAACAAGTAGTTTAATTACACACCATAAACTATAAATAATATAGTTGTTTTGTAGACAGGTGTCATGATCACTCCAAAATAATACTAAATTTTTCATACATGCTCCTCAATGCCTTAGCTTTCAATTTTTGGTAGGAACCAACTTATCCAATGACATTATGGCGGCCATCTTGGATTTTAAAGATGGTGGCCATTAAAAACCTATTTCTACCAACATTTCATCTTCTAAGCCACTTAGGATTAAAGTTTTGGTGTCTAAACATACATTTCCAGTGTCAAAGAACGCAACTGAAACATTTGGGATAGTGCTAAATGATTAATTTGTCCACACGGAACCGTTTTAGCGCAATCGAGCCAGCATTAGCCCGCTTCTGGTCTTGTACCGTTTAAACTGTATGGTACTGCCACAACAAACCCATAATTAGATGGTATCGGCCCAATACCGTCCTGTTTACTGGGTCAATGCCATCTTTGAACCTAGGCAGGTAGAAATCCCTGGCACTGCAGGATGTGATACAACTCTGCCTCTCCACAACTACATGCAGCTGAACCACTTTTGTAGCTCCATTTGATTAAGGCAGGTCTGTGATCGGCTAGTCCTGGTTCTCAAGCGGCTGATAGTTTTTCATTGAAACCATGTCGATGTAGCACCTTTTGGGAGGTTTTCCGCCGTTGTTATAGTCTAACCATGACAATCGGTGGACGTTTGGTCCCAGTCGTTGCTTCCAGTGTTGGAGTCTTGCCACTTCCCTGGATGTTGTGAAGGAGTGGACATCGCTGAGGAAGCTGTTCTTGACTTCAGTCTTTTGTGCCAAAGCTTGCCGTCCTTGGAGGAGGCGACACTCGTCATTTATCAATATTTGGACATCTTAGCTTAGCTAGCAACTTCCCTTCGGAAATCCGAAGAAAAAATGCCAGTAAGGAGGTGCAAATTACTTGTGTTGGTGGGTTTCAGGCATCCAATGATCAAAATGCATGTTGTATAAGGCTGGGTCAAATTTCATGGTATGGGCTGATCTCTCCCAGACGGGGCACGCATACTCTGCTGAAGAATGGCACGGAGCCAAAACGGTTCATCTTAGGTGTGTGGTTTGGCTCCCCTTTCGGAGGCTGTTCAATTTCTTTATGATGTTGTTACGGGGAACTAAATTTGGATGACTTGAATGACCGGATACGATGGAGGATCACCTTAAGGTAGACACAGGAAGGCTGCAAGGAACCAAGGGGCCAATGGGTGCTCCGGACAATTTGATGTTAAGGGTCAGTTGGCTTCGCAGTTAACGTTCCTGAGATGGAACGAGCAGCCTTGGGTCTTTGGGACGGAGGTGTTGCGCTAAATAAAAGAGTTGTATTTCCTAACCCTGAAAATGTATGTTTTGACACCTAGACTGTGATTTGATAAGGGGTTGTAGCTGAGATATCAGTAAATGCAATTATTATCTGGCGGCCATCTTCAAAATCAAATATGGCCACAATAGTGTACAAACTGAACATTTGACACTGTCATAAATGGAATAGTTGCATTCCTTGACCCTGAAAATGTTTGTTTGGACGCCAAAATTTTAACCTAAGTGGCGTAGAAGAATGATATTGGTAGATATAGGTTTTCAATGGCGACCATCTTTAAAATCCAAGATGGCCACTGCAATGTATGTGGACAAATTAATCATTTAGCACTATCCCAACTGTTTCAGTTGCGTTCTTTGACACTGGAAATGTATGTTTAGACACCAAAACTTTACTCCTAAGTGGCTTAGAAGATTAGATATGCGTAAAAATAGGTTTTCAATGGCAGCCATCTTTAAAATCCAAGATGGCCTCCGTATTGTTATTGGATAAGTTGGTTCCTATCAAAAATTTAAAGCTAACGCAATAAGGAACACGTATGGAAAATTTGGCACTTTTGTCCGGAATGTCCACATCCCTTCCAAAAGCTGGCCTAAGCTGCCTAACTAATAGGCCTATCGCTGTTTAGATTCAAAGTATTGCTTGTCTCACTTCAACTACTGACGATACCAGTGTTGGAGCAAAGGCTTTGACCCTCAAGGCCAAGGCCAAGGCCAAGGCCAAGGCTTTGACCCTCAAGGCCAAGGCCAAGGCCAAGGCTTTGACCATCAAGCCTCGAGGCCAAGGCCAAGGCTTAACCCTCAAGGCCAAGGCCAAGGCCAAGGCCCTGTTTTATGAAATGACCACTGATATAGAACTAATTATAGTCACATGAGTGACACGTCATCACGCAAGGGCGGATCCAGAACACAATTTGGGGGGGGGGCAAAGAAATGTTGGTCCCCCCCAAAAAAGTGGGTAAAAAAATTACGGCTTGGGCTTTGGGGCCCGCTTAAGGGCCTCGAAAAAAATTTGGATTCGAGATATGCTCTGTGGTGCAATTTGAGGCAATTTCTGACCATTTTTACCGATGTTTTTTTGAGGATAAGATGGTGGTGTACTCATTGCCTGCCTTTATTACGACGTCACATTAAAAAAAACGGTTTCGGTTTTTTTTGGGGGGGGGGGGGGCATGGCCCCTTTTGGCCCACTGGATCCGCCCTTATCATCACGAATTGCTCGTTACGAAGAACAACATTTCTTTAATTGCAATCAACATGCTCGCATAGGCCTACACCGTTTTATGACTGCACTGTATCTATTAAAGTATAAGTTCAGGTCTTCAATATGGTTTAACTAGACAAAATAATGATTTACTTGTATATTGACACACAATTCTCCCAAGTGTATCAAAAGGGGGATCCAAGAATCTGATTTGGGAAATTGTTTATTTGCTGGCCCAACATGGTCAGAAATATCAGCATTATCTAAAACAGATACATGCAAATCTTTAGCACTTATCAGGGAGACATATACAACCAGTCAGATCTACTCCATAGTTATATGCGACTTGAGCGTCTTTTTTAGACGGATTTTGGCGCTATATAAATGTTCTCTATTATTATTATTATTTGCAATTAAAGTGATCATCTCATTAGCCCCACAAGTGTACGGAATATTTTTGCAGCAAATCTACTACAATGGTAACAAAATGTGATGCTACAAAAGTGGAAGTGTGCCCAACACACAAATCTATAGGGTGCTTCCCTCCTCCATGGTAATACGATTAAAATGGTAACAGCAAAATTTCGAACAGATTTATCTGGAAAATGCAAAAATCTATGGGCCTTGAAGAGCCTTGACTCAAAATTGCAAGGCCCTGAACCCTCAAGGCCAAGGCTTTTGCCCTCAAGCCTCGAGGCCAAGGCCAAGGCCCTAAAATCCAGCCTTAAGGCAGCCTTAAGGCCAAGGCCCAGCATCAAGGCACTACATCACTGGACGATACGTTCCTCTCCACAACTTTAACAATGTTCACAGCGTTGAATGAAAGATTTGACATACTGACCACTCACAAGTGAACTGGTTCGATTTGAAAATTGATAAAAGTTACAATTTCAAGTGCACAACGTAATTGGCGCATGCGCACATTTTTATGGACTGACTGAACTGCGTTGGATGTTATTTACCTGGAAGCAGCCACAGGTCTGGTACGTGTGCTTGGATCATGTAGAAAAGCGTCATCGCTGGAAAGGAATAAAACAAATATTAAAGGGGCACCAGGTCCTTAAATCCCCAAATATTTCATGTTTTGGATTGTTTACTTATCCTATTTCAAACATTTGGTTGATGTGTTACCGTTCCCGAGAAAAGACGAAAAAAATCGGTTGTTTAAATCGGACACTGACGGAGTACGAATATGTTTTTCCTTTCGTTTTCAGTAAATGAACGATATACATTGTACTCGTAATGTGAGTCAATACAGCACCTAATTTTGACCCAAGACGTCAGTGATCACAGCCGTGTGGTTGCGAAGGGCGATTTCTAAAGGTTACATAACACTTTATTTTGAATGAAACTACATGTACACATACATGTTCACCCATCATGCGGGCGAAATCTTTAAAAATGTATTTCTCCCGTTTGGAATACCGCATCTTCATGCAACTTTCAGGGTTTATTTCCTTCATAATGATCCAATTTTGTGCTAAAAATCGTTGTGATATGTTCATTGCTTTTCGTTGAAATTAGAAAAATAGGCCTGGCTACGTGTATTTTTGAAAGTTGAAACACTGGTGTTAGCAATGTCTGTCAATCTTTTCAAGCCTCACAAATATTTATAAGGTTCCTTTTCACTGTTGTGCGTAGTTAAAATGTGCATCAATCCTCCTTCACGCGTTTTTAATTAATAAATATCACCCCTTTTGCCGGATTCCATTGGTCGATACCGAGACCAACGCCAAGTCAAGCCAGGTGATGCTAATGAATATGCTAATATACCTGTCGTTATTGTGTTGCGAGGCCGAAATTGGTCAACCGTACCGCTCAGGATGTTATGAGAACCATGCAATTGGGTTGGGTCGGGGAAAAAAATCCTCGTCGACATTTTCCTTAGAGATAGTTCGAGCTGTAACACAAGCGTTTGCAACAACAGATTGAGCTGAAATTCAGACTATACGTAGATAATATGTGTTCAAATACTGTGAAATAACAACTTTCTTAAATTCCTAGAAATTGATATATATATACATAGATTTGGGGACGTTTTCAAACGATTTCTTCCAGACTTGAAGGTCTGCTCTACCGGTAGCCAGTATTGAGGTTTCGGCATCTATGACGGCGATATTTTCAGGCATCGATGACGGAGATTTGTTC